TGGAGATGGTGGAATCATTATGTTTCGACTCATTAGAAAGCCGGCAGCGTTCCCGTATCCCACGTGATGAACAAATAAATTTGCTACATAAAATAAATTTTTTTTATATAAATGAATAAAAATTTGATAATAGGAAAAAAGTAAAATACTTAATGATAAAGGCTTACCATCTTGATCACATATCACATATAACAACTCACTTATGCCATCTTTTAAATTTGGCAGCATTACCGAAGTCATTAATCGAATTAAACGTGCGGATAAACTGTCACCTTTTTCTAACGGTTTAGATCGATCCCTAAAAATTTTAAAAGAAATTAAGATTAGTTCTCAAATAATGTGTGTGCCTAAATTATTTTTGAGGAAAAGTAATTTCGGGGAAACATTTTAGTTTTACATTTTTGTATAAAGAGTTTAATAATTTCGGCAATTATAATAATTATTTATTAAGGGGAACAATTTAGGCACATATATAGAGTCTCTACTGAACTTACACATTATCAGGTAATAATCTATTTCTTGTAATAGTTCTTGCCAATTCGTCTTCTTCTGCTAATTTTCGTATCAATACCACAAGTGGTGGAATAACTTCATCAAAATTAACACCGTATTTCTTTTGACCATTTTCAATATTAGCATCAGGATCTCCTTTGACGGCAATAAATATCATTATTTTTAAAGTTTCAAGAAATTTATCCAAAAGAGCATATTGTTGAGTTTTTTGCTCTGGGGGGAACCAGATTGATTTGTAAGGGGCGACAGGAAAGTTCAAAAGTGCGTGAATCGCGTGAGAATGTGGTGGACCTAGTGGAAGTGGTGATGGTGGAGGTATTTCTGTGATAATATTAATAATTACCGGGAGTAATCTATAAATAACAAGATAGATTATTTATGTGATTATAAAATTTTGAGAAAATGAAATGAATTTGAAAGGATGAAGTACTTTTCAAATTTTGACGGAGGTTCCTGACCTTTCCCTTTCCCTTCACGCACAATTTTTGGATCATAGTGCATCAGGTTAAATAAAAATTTTAATTGCTCGCTCAAGAGCGTAACTCTGTTGATAGGTGAAGATTCAACAATCGTAGACGAAGAAATTTCTTTCACAATATTGTTTATGGTCTTTAAAAACAATCATAAATATTATTAGAGGCTAATACTACTATATTATTGTCAAATATAGCCAGACCTCATTGCTAACAACACTATAGTATTGGCCCATTTTATTGATATGCATTAGAGGTTGAGGATACGTTCATAATCAATATTTCTAAAGATGGAATACTGATAGTTGTTTATTATGTTCAATTGCTACGTTGAGTATTCATATTAAACAAGTTGATAACAATGAGGAATGACTGTATGAGGAAAATTGATTTCCAAAATTTACGTTATAAAGTATGTCAATTATTTCAAGGTCATCAATGAGTTGTTTAACGATTGGTGACGTTTTAATGGTCATCAGAAAGAGAATTCGCGAGTAAAGAAATTGTGTTTTGGTCGAAATTTCAATATC